ACTTCCGGTGGCGTAAGCATAAATTTTGGCCTATTTACTTCTTTTACAGCTATATCTCTTTTTGAAATCACTACGCATTATCGTCAAGCATTTTTTTTTCAATTTGTCCACTTTTAATTAAAAAAAAGCTTTATTGTATTATTTAATTTGTTTTTTTAATTCGTCATTGCTATTCAAAACGGAAAAAAGGTTCTATTGTATTATCTAATTTGTTTTTGTTATAGATAAAATTACACTTACCAAAAAAATTACATTTCTTTACGGTAGTGCGTAGTGATTTTCTGCACCGAAAGTCTGTAAAAGAAGTAAATAGGCCAAAATTTATCCTTACGCCACCGGAAGTACCCCACAGTGAATGAGTGAACATTATGACAGAAAGGACGGGCGAATGACCAACAAGAAGTTTGATTTTTTCTTGTCGATTCGAGTTTAGCATGTACATTTACACAGAATTATGACGATTTGGGAAAATTTTAAGAAATATTTAGCGCGCGGGCGTTCGGGTGTTGAAAAATCAAATTTACCAATGCTGCTTCCAAGTCGACCAACTGAAAGTACCAATCTCCAAACGGCTTCCTTCTGAGATTACTTAGGGAAAACAACATAATATTTCATCAGAACACTAGGTCTTTTATGGCCATACAATAAGATTTGATGAATCTTCTGTATTTCTTGTTCATAATGTTCACCTAATGCAAGTCTCAAGAGTCACTCAAGTTAGAGTTATTTTTTTCAATAAGATGTGTGATATGAATGTAAGATTAGCAAAAGAAGATTATCGTTTACATTTGACAACACGTCCCCAAGAGCGACCTTTAACGAGTCCTTGGTATTGTGGAGCCGTTACTGGAGACGTTGTGATCCAGGCGATTAAAATCATGAGGGCTCATGTTGCGAGGGGGGGGATTGCGATATCAAGCTGAAATTTCTCGGCTGGCTAAATTTAAGTTACGTGGACCATGTGGGAGGGAGCATAATTCTGCTGTAAAAAGCATGACCCCGCTACGATCGATCCAGGACTTGAGCAACTTGTTAGCACCTCAATAGTTTTGAACCTGAGGCTCTGCGAGAAGCAAAGAAAAATTTGTAGGACCCTGTTAAAAATTGGAGAAAAATTCAATAGATCTGAGTAGTATCCCTAAAATTTCAATTTTGTGCAAAAATAGGCTCACAGGAACTTCAAATTCAAATTTCCACATTAGCATTTATTAACAAATCAGCGACATTGTCTCAAACGCCATTCAAGCTTTGAAAAAGCAGACGACATTTTTGTTGTTTACTAAAACATTTGAAAAACACCCAGAAAATGATTAACAATCTTTGACCTCTTAAAAATTGAAATTAAAATTTCGGAAATATATTTAATAACCAATAAAACTTCAGAATTTAGCTAATCTAACTTTTAACTTCCTGTGATGCGATTTTTTCTTATATATAGCTTAACATAAATTAATAATCTTTAATCTTTAAGTTTATCTTCGATCGGGGATATAAATAATACTGAATTCTCAAATTTTCGCTTACTCAAATTGACCTATTGAGTACTAAGTTCATTCTTGAAAAATTATTTCTCGTTTTTAAAGTATTTTCATAAACCAGTTCACAGTTAATCTTATGAAAAATACCTGAGCGAGATATATAAACAATTCGTAATTGTAGCAGCGATGCAAATATTATCAGCTGATAGATCACACGCTGTTGGTATTGCATCATAAACACACATAATATAACGCAAATCGTGAATTTCCGCATTAAGAATTCACACATACGTTTCACTCTATACTAACACAATTCATTTCTTTTGTGTTGTAAAAAGAAAAACAAAGCATTTTTTGCGCGAAATTTGTTTGCAAGGAACTTTATAACAAGTTTCTTTCAACTTAAAAGAAAACAAAGATTATTTTCATACTCAATAAAAAAATTATTTAAATTTGTAAAACTGCGTTTGAAGGTTATTTCTTTTCTTCGTTTTCACACACTTTCTCCTCTACACATACCACGGTTCTGATTCTTCCCTGCTCCGAGGACCATCACAGATGTCCATTTGGTGCGCAACACGTTGGACATCTCTATTGGTTACGAGCAGAGCTATCTGTTGTTTTTCTTTTTCACCTGGCCACTTTCAAGGGTCTCACTATATCCAAGTCCCTATGCCTAGCGGCTAATGCCTTTTCATTATATACCAGATTGTTAATGCTCTCGATACGTCCGAACGAGAAATGAAAACGTTAATATTTAGCGCATGCCGCGTAACATTAAGTTAGGCCGTCTCCCTTTTATTCCGCTTAATATGTGCTCTCAAATACCTGGCGCACACTGTTTATAGCAATGGGATAACATCGATAATAAACCTCACTATGTTGTACTAGACAATCTTTCTCGCCAGAATCCATCTTGCACATTTACAAAAACCACCATTCATCCGGGCATTGAATATTACCGCCATATTTGGTCTGGTGTTACGGCTATATATCCCGAAATTCTCGACAAAATTCGAAAGAAGGAACCTTAAAATTATTTGCCCTAACCTGGTATGTGGAGTTCAGTCACATTCCCACCGCCGGGACGCGGCTTCCCTCTGTCTTTTCTATAAATATTTGCATGGGAGCTATTCTTATAAACTCTTCTCCTTTGTGCCTCGAATACATGGAAAGCGTACTACTAGATTGGCAATTAGGTCTCATCGTTTTATTTTTAAAATAGCTATATGCAACCGTAAGTTCTATTCTGACAGTTTCTTTTCTCGAACTTCTCGCCTGTGAAATTCTATTCCGGTTTCTTGCTTTCCTTCCACCTACGATCGTCAAAAAATTAAATGCAACGTCAATCGCAATCTTCTGCCTTCCTGAACCCTGTTCTTTTATTGTCCTTTATCCTCATTAAAGTCACTCATTCTCTTTAACTCTAAGTAACCCCTAGTAGCATAGTGGCATTATCGCCTTGCGTGGAGTAAACTGGTTAAAGAAAAAACTTGACTACACAACCAAATATGGCCTGATGGTAGCGCATTTACTCATTCGTCAGAAAAATGAAGAGGACATTCACAGCCGGTGAAAAGGGTCTCATGCCCCCACCCCGGAAACTATGATACGGCCCCCTGAATCTATGATACGGGGTTACCACTCTATCTCAATTTTCATAAAGTAGTATTCATATAAAATAAAAATTTCATTGTAGCCTAATTATGTACAATAATGGATCATATGCAATATAGGTGAACAATTCAACTAGAAATATTTAAATGTATTTAAATACAAATTAGAGACATGTCATAGTAGGCCATATGCAATATAGGTGAACAATTCAACTAGAAATATTTAAATGTATTTAAATACAAATTAGAGACATGTCATAATGTTATAGTGGAACACACCTATTCTATAGTTAATAGACTCTCCCACCTATAATAAGTAGGTGGGAGAGTCTTGTTCACTCTATACTAACACAATTCATTTCTTTTGTGTTGTAAAAAGAAAAACAAAGCATTTTTTGCGCGAAATTTGTTTGCAAGGAACTTTATAACAAGTTTCTTTCAACTTAAAAGAAAACAAAGATTAAGGAGTCGGTCAGTCAGTCGACTGGATGATCGGTTGAACTCTTTGCCTTCGGGTGAGGAGGAACCCGAAGGAGGCTACGCCGAAGGGCGGATTCTCTTTCGGGGAGGTAAACCGACCCTGAACCCGTTTATACGGGTTCAATGGGCATATTTTTTGGCCGAGACCACGAGCTCGGAGATCCCACGTTAAAAAGGCCTTGTGCCACATGACGCCCTCGTGGGGGGGACTGAATATCGTCGGTCAATCGGTCGGTGTCGGACGACAGTTAGTCGAATACGAAAGTATCAGCGACCACAACAAGATTACTCTGCGTAATACCTATTATATCAAGTTCCTAACGTTTTGTACGTCGGACCTATTTTAGGACCGACAGTACAAATACAAGCCTCCATTGTGAAATCATTCCACAACACATTATACGCCATATGCAATATAGGTGAATAATTCAACTAAAAATATTTAAATGTATTTAAATACAAATTAGAGACATGTGAAAGAAATCAACAATGTTTTGCGGCAATTTTTGGCATCAACTTGAGATTTTTCTTGTCCAAAAGTTGAATAATTTAACACATTCAACATTATGGATGAAAAATAGAAAATTTTTATGTATTGCTGTTTCGAGACTTAGCATAAGCAAAACAAACTCACGGATTTGATCGATAAAAAAAAAACCCAGAATGCTGTCAAAATCCGCGATAATTTTTCATCCTTTAATAATAGTCAATTGTGCTTAGCTTAATTTGTAACGTATAGAAATGTTAGTAGAAAAAAAAAGAAAGCAAATGTTGATAAGATAGTATAAGTCGCAAAGCTTGTGTCCCGTCCGGTCGGAGGTTTGGGAATAGTAAGCACCGGTCATGAAGTTATTACAAGTGTCTACAAAAATCAACGATGGATGCTTAAAAAAAGAAAATCGTTGTCGAAATTGTAAATAGTACACGTTAACAGAAAACGCCTGATCATTTTGAAGTGAATCATAAAAATGGAGATAAATTCAATAAGTGGGTTTCACATGATTAAAACCTGAAATATGAAACTGGCCATTTTTACGGATGATCAAATACTTTGATAAACAGAATAGACAAAGATGGAAAGATAGCGAGTGACGCCGACCCAGTGACAAGGGAATAGATAAATGAAGACATTGATAATTGCTTGATAAGAGAACATAAAAAATAGAAAAATAAAATGCTTCTTTCGTGCGAGCATAAAGTATTTTCTTTTGTTAGACGATCTGTTCATGCATTATGTATCTTGGGACCAGGGTTCGATCCTTGGCTCTTTTTCTTATCTCGCTCTCATTTTTTTTTCTCTTCAATTGGTCAACAATTTATGAAAAGCAAAGAAAAATGTTCACAGCCCATGACAAAATGTCCGTTCATGCCCGGCCAGTCGCGAGACAACACGTTCCTGTATTTGCTGCATGTTTTTCGTTCTTTTTCATGCGACAATTTTTGTTTTATATGGACATAAACAAGAAAAAAAAGCAAGAAAAGAGGGGAAAGAAAGAAAGAAAAAGAGAAAGGAAGAAAGAAAGTATAACCAAAGGGGAGAAACGGTAATGAAAGGAGTGAAGCAAGCAAAGGAAGGAAAGAAAGAAAGAAAGAAAGAAAGAAAGAAAGAAAGAAAGAAATTATAAGCAAAAGTGGGAAACGGTAAAGAAAGAAAGAAAGAAAGAAAGAAAGAAAGAAAGAAAGAAAGAAAGAATAACCAAAGGGGAGAAACTGTAATGAAAGGAGTGAAGCAAGAAAGAAAGAAAGAAAGAAAGAAAGAAAGAAAGAAAGAAAGAAAGAAAGAAAGAAAGTATAACCAAAGGGAGAAACGGTAATGAAAAGGAGGAAGGCAAGCAAGCAAAAAGAAAGAAAGAAAAAAGAAAGAAAGAAAGAAAGAAAAGAAAGAAAAAGAAATTATAAGCAAAAGTGGGAAACGGAAAAAGAAAGAAAGAAAGAAAGAAAGAAAAGAAAGAAAGAAAGAATAACCAAAGGGAGAAACTGTAATGAAAGGAAAGCAAGCAAGCAAGAAAAGAAAGAAAGAAAGAAAGAAAGAAAGAAAGAAAGAAAGAAAATTATAAGCAAAAAGTGGGAAACGGTAAAAGAAAAAAAAAGAAAGAAAAGAAAGAAAGAAAGAATGAAAGAAAGGAAGAAAGAAAGTATAACCAAAGGGGAGAAACTGTAATGAAAGGAGGAAGGCAAGCAAGCAGGAAAGAAAGAAAGAAAGAAAAGAAAGAAAGAAAGAAAAAAAGAAAGAAAGAGGAGGAGGAAAATAAAGACAATGGGATAAAGACAAGACAGAAAAAAGGAGGATAAAGAAAGAAGTAAAGCTAGCCAAAAAGGAAGAACGTATAAGCAAAAGGGAGAAATGGTAAATAAAGAGAGGAGTGAAGCAAGAAAGAAAGAAATTAAGAATGGAAGATAAAGTAAAAGGTGAAGAAAGAAAGAAAGAAAGAAAGAAAGAAAGAAAGAAAGAAAGAAAGAAAGAAAGAAAGAAAGAATAACCAAAGGGGAGAAACTGTAATGAAAGGAGTGAAGCAAGCAAGCAAGCAGGAAAGAAAGAAAGAAAGAAAGAAAGAAAGAA